TCAATTTTCCACACCCCGGCTCCATTCTATGCAAATGTCCCCACCCCTCAGACTGCCATCCGTTCCGTGACCGTCACGGCATTGTCCTGTGCTCACTCGCCACCGACCGAGGAACTGGGAAGTGATGGAGCGTGTGGGTCGCACCTGAGAAAGGGTCACACCGCACCATGGGGGAGTACAGGACGGTATTCCGGCCAGGATGTCCCTCCCACGGCGCGAGGCACGCGAACTGTACCTGTTGTGATGCTCGGGCACAGCGAAGTGGGACGATGGGTGAAGGAATGATGGTGGAGGGATTTGGAAGCGGGAAGCCATGAGCCAAGAACCCTGGACCTTCCCCGCTTAATATATTTGCTTAGAATTGTATTTCGAAGTTGTATGGAATCTTGGCGAAAACAAGAAAGACGTGACACAAGGTTGAGGAAAATCTACGACCTTGGACAAAGATAAGTACGAAACTGGATGTAGGATTTCGAACTAGATGACAAGTGGCATGCAAAATAACAGACCTCGAGGAGTCTCAACTCGACAGAATCCAAATCCTTATAACTGTGCTGCAGTTGCTGGTTATGACACGAACGGTATATAGGGCCTTGACACGAACTATCGTGCGCTTGATGAAATACCCCCTTCTGTAAAATACTGTCGGACGCTTTACGCCCGCATCGATAAGTGAGGCTCACATTCCTCTATCCATGGGCGGGGCAGACTCCACCGGCGCGGCGGATGGGTCAATTTGGCGTCCGACTCCGATTAGCCTGGAGTCTAATCGGACGGTGGCTATAGAGATGGTTCCTCGACTCAGTTCCGAAGGCAATGAACCCGGCTGTATGGGAGACCCGGGAGGTATGGGCCCCCTGGAGGTATGGGCCATCGCAGTTTTGAAGAAGTGTTGCGTGTTTTTACGCATTTGATGGAGTAAACTGGTAGCAGCCATTCTGTTATACATCCCACGTGATTTTCAAAATCTTCCTCAGTCTTCTTTGGCAATGAGCGGTGATAAAGCGTTTTTGCCCTCGTCGAGTAAAATGCGGTACATACAGAAAATTCGTGATAAATTTGAACCAGGCTCGTTTTATGATGTCAGACCATCGCTAACATAAAGTTTTAAGCATGCAAATTAAGACTGGATAGACAATTTGAAGCTTTCTTGCAAGATTATGAGCTGAGATGCTACGCACATTCTGGCGTCCTAATCGGGAGGTTCGGGCCACCCACCCCCGTTGATCCTAAATAAACAAAAATGTTGATTTCATTGAATGTCCCCGTCAACAAGTTTTATTTTTGTCGCGCAAGGTCGAAAATTTAACTTCAAATTTCATTTGAACAGAAAAATATTATTGATCTTATTTCATGGTGCATGCTTGAGTTAACCAAAATACATATGGGCCCAAGTGACCTCTATGAAGTAAGCTGTTGGCCGCTTATGCGGTTCCTGGGCTCTAAGAGAGATCAAGGTAGATACCAGCTACAAGTATATTCTCATTGTCGAGAAAAGAATATGAAACCTGGCACCGGCCCATACCTCCCGGTGTATTTTGATGGATCGAAAAAGCATATGATTTATTGGAAGTTATCTGGAGACAAAATAGCTGGTCCCAGATGCCTAATGTCAGGCACACGTTGTAGGCGAAAGGCAATTTCACATGCACAGGGTAAAAAACCGGCTAGCCACTGCCCACTGGAAGAAAATTGCCTTTTCACAAAACCGGCCCATACCTCCCGAGTCTCCCCTACTTACTAACGGCCCGCGCTCGAATGGCTTGTCTAGGTGCATGGTTATTCCTGCTGCATTACTAGCGCTCCAGGTTTTCGGCGCGAATTGTTTTTTTTTTTTTTGCTATAGAGATAATGGATAACGAATCATAGTTACACTTACGGTATATTGGCTATTGAATTAGAGCTACACTGATCTTTGGCATTTGTCAATAATCGTCTTCATCACACTCTCGAGGGCTATTCAATGGTCACCAAGGGCATCGAAAGTTTATTTGGCTGACTATCACAAGACTTAACAGGATCCAAATGCAGCGTTTGCAGCGTTTCCTAACCTTCATCCAAATTGAAACAGTTAGAAAAGGAAGAGTCATTTAATGTCTGATTAACGAAGGGTGAATCTAGTGACTGAGGTAGCACCAATGCTGGCTGTCTGGAAAGTAAGAAACGAGTTTTTGCGCTAGAACAATTTTAAATAAAGTGTCTTCACTGATCAGTTTTATAACTTGCTGTCATAATTTGCTGATTGACCAGCTGTAATGAAACTCATGGCAAAAAACCGTCCAAACTCTGTTGCTTCACGTCCAGAATTTTCATAACTCGCGAGTGAACAGATCTGCCAGAAATCAACCATGGCCGGCCATGGTTGCGTTTCCTGTCAATTAGATACGAGCGCTATTCATCGGAAACTACAATGGAGTTGTCACAAAGTAAGAATCCCATTGTCTTCTGAGAAGAGTCGCACGGGGTCAAGGACTTCGTGGCCGAGCCGCTGTCTGAAATAGTGGGGGACGTTTAAATGTCTTCGTAACTATCCAAGGGAAGTCCGCACTTGTCCACCTCCGCAGGGGCTCCCATAAACTCCGGGTGTAAGGCTGACCCGACCGCCTGCACCCGCCCACCCCACGACCCATAACCGCGATAACCGCGACCCAGCGCCTCTGACGGCCGCCCGGCCCTGGGAACCTCCCCATGGCTGGCACGGGTGTCCGCAGAACTGGTGCACAACTGACCAGTTCTCAGTGCAGTGGCCATACGGCCGCGGTTGACCCTGCGCGCCTCAGTCGCTGTTCTCGGCCAAATGGTCTGTCGCTCGGGCGGCGGCGGGCGGCGGCGGGCGGCGGCGGGCGGTCCGCCCGAGTTATTACTGCCGGGGGCGGCTAGGGGTCAGTGGGGTCAGCTGCGCCGCCTAGCCCGCTGATTGGCTGATGACACGGTGCGCCAAGACTGGAGACGGCGCCGGCCGCGGGGCAGGACGAGACGGGACGGGAGGGAAGGGGAGGAGAGGAGAGGAGAGGGGAGGAGGTGAGAGGAGAGGGAGATGGAGGCAGACAAAAAAAATCTGATTTGATGGATGCTGGAATGTAGTTTATGGTGTGATAATGAGTCTCGAGGTGATCAGCAGTATTACAATAGCATTATTAGGCTTCTGTTGTGAGCTGCAAATAGCTCATAAGGAAGCTGTAAACATCATACGATGACTCGAGCTTTCGAGTAAAGGTTGTGCTACTGACAGTAGGTGTTATTTTTTCAGGCGCAAAAATGAAAATGAACGTTATTATATCTACTCGCTAAAAAGTTTAAGCACTTTTGATCTGCCTTTCTAGAAAATAAACATCATCTCTCATAGCAATCGTTCTCCAAATCGGCACCAGTACAGACTCTCGTCTATTGCAGCGGATGTGGGGCTTAGTTCAGAAGCTGTGGTCGGTAAGAAATATTCCGATCGCGTGATCGAGAGAATACCGCACCCTAAGATCGCTCCAGAATGCCGCCTCAGCGCAAAAACCACGTCAGAGGCTCACAGGTGGCCACTGCCGGCCGGAGCGGCGGTCGTGGCGCAGCCGGTCCATTTGTGACGCAGACGGTTATGGCGCGCTGGTCCCATTCGCGACGCATTGCGTGACTGGCGTCCATGCATGCCAATGGAATGCGAGCCTCTGTGTGGGGGTTTGTTAGTAGCCAGGTTTTATTGCCGAGCTGCACTATAAAAATGTCAGGGCACTAATTGCTACCTGCTTCAGCCGGACTCGGGTGGCACATTCGCGCGACGTTGGCCCTCATGGTCACGACTTTGCGGGGTGCCTTGGTGAAACGACGATGCGCAGAAAAAAAAACTTCGCGAATTACAGGCTAATTAGCAGCGAGAAAAGTTTATTGAATGAGTTTGGTTGCGATTTTCGTAACACATTTGCCGGTTAAGCAATGCAAATCCCCCGTATGAATAAAAACTTTCACAAACTTTTCCCATAAGCAGCAGTAGCATCACTTTTGCTACAGATAGCTCTATTTTCCACAAAGTGCAAAGGACCGCCATACCGTCGCCTTGCCGTCGCCCAGTTCCCAGTCCAGTTCCATCTCCCCCTTCTAGCTCCCAGTACCATTACCAAAACCATTGTAATGTAAGGAAGGTGTGCTTAGCTCGTGCTCCAGCGCTTGGCCGGTCGCTGCATATCAATAGGATCACGCCTACCCATTCAGTCCACACATTGTTATTTTTCCAGTCACCATAAACTAGCGGTGCCACCTGCAATGGCTTGTACGGGCGCCTTGCACCCTCACACGCCCATCTAAGTCAGCATTAGCGTCGCAGTGGAGTTGCACTGGCCATATCGGACTGAAATGTGACTGCGGACGTCTGTTATTATCCTAGAGCCGGGTTCATATCAATCGTCAGTGAGCATGTTCACACCGGTATCGCGCTCACCTCTGTGGATTTTGGTGAAGTGTTTATCGCTTGCATACTTGTACACTTGCTTAGCTGCATTTGATGGTGTGAAATGAACGTTGAAATGATCCCTAAGTTGTATGCGGCCTTGTACATTTGCCTGCTCATTGTTGAAGGAGCCTTTCGTGCAACTAAATAACCATCCTTGCAACAGGATTACATGCGATCCAAGTCTTAAGATTTCGAACACGTATCTCAAAAGCCGCGATGATTGCTAGCATCACGCAAAGTAGTCCATCACTGCCTTTGCAATTCTTTAATTTATTGTAGCATTTCCGATGCAAAGCATGAGCCCGCATAATAAACTGCATGAACGGCACCTCACGCCATGCCTATGCATAGGGCGGTATATGGAGTTTTGTGGGCATTGATCGGCGGAAAACGCAAGACGTCAGCACAGAATTACGTGGGATCAAAATAATGATTCTTTTCAGCGAAAACAAATATTTTATGTGACAAAATAACATCCATATGTATCAGTGACTTGTTAGTCCTTTGTGTCTGATAAATGCCATTGATCGTGTTTCTATTAACTGGTGTGTGCATTTTGTTTCAGTTGTCATGGACTTCAATCGCTGTCCACAACCGTCCACCACTGCCTAAGTAACCACTGGTGTCCTGGTGCCACTAGTGCTCGTGCCGCTGTCGAGGGTCTCCGGCTAGTCATTTAGTCCTTCGCAAACTCTACGATCTTCAAAATGAGGGACGAAGAAATGGAAGTTGCGGTAAAGGTGAGTTACGAACCTACCGTGATCACTGCTTGTGCTGTTGGTGTACGACTTCCGTATTAAATAACAAGGAACAATCGAAAGCAGCTCAACAACATGGGAAACCGGTTCACTTTCGATGTCATACGGCGGACTTCGCCGTCTGTGATTATCACGAGACTATTGTTTCGGTCTTGTGGTGCATGCTATCTTAATTGGTACTTAAATTGACCGGTTGCTGTCAACGGAGACATGTAGATCGAAAGTGAACTTCATCATAATGTGGTAAGTACGGCTGCCCCAAGTAAAATATTACCAAATAACAACTCTGACTATTGATTAAGAGCATTTTATGTTTTGTTTTTTTTGCCAAATTCCCGTACCAGCACATTATTGATGTGAATCATAAGGTGAGTGTATTACTAAGTGTATTGTCAAAAATATTCCTCACCCTACTCTTCAAAGTTAGGGCAAGGGTGACCAAACAACCAAATGGTCTTGAGAAGCATAGGCGACGGAACGGGGAGGGCACCGGGGCACCGTGCCCCCTTTGATTTTGGCATTTTAACATTAGCTCTTTGGGCGTTGCATGGAAAGAATGGGACCAAAAGTCGGCAGTGCCCCCCCCCCCCTAATTGAAGGTGTTCCGCCGCTACTGTTGAGAAGCTGAAAAGTGAGCCGTCACGACCACCATTTATACCCGGACATTGAACAGATGGTGTACAGAGGAGTGCGGAGACGTGACGATGATATCTGCAGCAGGCCGAATGTGGCATCCTCTCATTGGCCGGCCGACAATCGGTGCATATCATTAGAGCCTCTCGTGAAGTCGACGGCTGATCGGCCGGTCCGGGCGGCCGATGTGAATGACCCTCCCTCGGAGCCGCTGCCTCTCATACTCTGTCGATCGCCGCCCGGACAGAGCATCCCAGAGGTCACACAATAGAGCCCAGAGGTCAGCCCACCGCTGTTGTTGTGCACTGTCGCGTGCGCTCTGTGCTGCATTCGTTTAGGTCTGATTCATGCAAATCAGCGGAAGAAATGTATGGATTCTGTCCAGGAGAACAGAGCGGAGACGAACGAAAAGCGACATTCTTTGAGAGTTTTCTGTCAAAGCTGTCAAAGAGATTTACAGCGTCGAAGTTTTCTGACCGTGCTGGACAGAAAGTGAGGCTGAAACTCCCTGCAGCTTGCTCAACACTAATCGTAATTTATTGGTTTGCCCTTAGAGAAAATGTCAAAGGAGGAGGCATTGGTCGTGAAACGTCCATCGGGCTTTGACGTTGCGTCAAAGGTCTGTGCGGAGCTTGTCCGAAATGGGCATTCTTTGATATAACGTTTCCAGCATTCATTTACTCATAAACATAAGTCTCCGCTTGTGACTCTGCTGTATGCGGCGTTACAGTCTCCTGTAGTGCTAGTGCTCAACACAGCACTGCAGTCTCCCGTCAGTAATTCAGTGTGGGTATAGGTAGCATTCAGAGAGCATGCCGGTTGACTTGACGTGTGAAATCAATAGTCACAACAATCAAGCCGAGTAAGGAATGACTGGGTCCAAGCACAAATTATGGGAGTTCTTATGCAGCTCTGCAGCTCAAACGTTTTCTGTTTAATTGTGCATTTCCACCGTAGCAGCAATTGCCGATCAAAATCACGGAACATTTTCTGTTTCTAGACGTTTAAAAGTTGCAAAGAGGTGCATTTCTTTTATAGGGAAGAATATCTTCATATTAAGTTTGTTTATATGAAAAAAGAAAACACACGAAACAAAATATTTGTTTTCGGAATGTGGCGAAAATTTGTATAAGGCTGCACGAGCAAAACGAGTGTGGATATTACATCATAACCGTCTCTCGAGATAAATTACCGTTGAACCGTATATCGTTTTTGGTGTGACCCCTCAGTAGTAGTTCTGGTGGTGGTCCTCCGTCTCTGCTGACCTTCAGTCGCCAGGTGGTCTGTTCTGTTCTCCTCTGGCCCCGTCTGGTCTCACTCCAGGGATCCACTATTTTAGGAAACGGTCCAGCAGGATCGTGCTAGCTTGGGATGGAGCCCCAAAAGACCAGTTTTGTGGCACTGTTGGTCACAAAGTTACTGGGACCGGAACAAAGAACAGGGTCGCGGAAGAAGGTAATGGCTTGAAATGCAATTGTAAATATTGGCTTGAAAAAGTATGTACTAACTTAAATCGAGATCAAATGTGATTGAACAATCCATTATGCCAGCATTAGGTACTTATGTTTTAGAATTAGCCTAGTAAGTTAGTCGAAACAAAATGTAAGGAGTCCAGAAATATCCAACTTGTCTAGCCGTCCTGCCCTGTTCCTGCCCTGCTATTCTAGACAACGCCTTCAATTCATAACAATCCATGAATGGAAAATGTATGTCTGTCTTCCCCCATTTTTGTTTGCACCTGCTCCTGATAAAGCGCGCCAACTCCCCGAAATTGCATTGTGCTGTCGCGTGAGAGCACAATTATTTTTGTTTGTTGAAGCATTTTGTCCTATGTGCCAACCGGATGCTTATCGTTGCTTGGTGGCTAGAACACGGATTCTGTACCTCAAATCTGACGTGGTATCGGCAAGGAAAGCGGTGGCTAAGGTGGTACTTCCTCGCGGCTATAAACTACGTTACATGTATCTATTTTACCTGAGATAGGTATTATCTAGTTGGAAAAACCCAGAAATAACAAGAACCGTGTCACAATAAAAACATTCTTTTGAATGTTGATCATTGGCAGGATAGCATAAACTACGCTAAGCAAGCTTCACCAAAGTTAAGAGAACATAAAAGTATCTTTGACCTGATTATTTAAGTTCTGGTTCCGGTCAATCCTTGCCAATATTTTGTTAATATTTACATGAGCCTTGTGACTATTCAGAAGGTCTAGCACTAAATGTATCCACATAGAGATATGATATCAATCACCGTCTGTTCCGTGCCAAACACATTATAACTGAAAATGCATCCTAGCCCGTTATCAACTCTTCTCGGGACGATGATCCCACGATAGACTAGGCCCAGCCAAAAAATGTCAAAGGTCCGCAATCACCTCAACGTAAGCACACCTCTCTGTGGCAGCTGAGGCAGCCTCGTTATAACTGCTAACCCAGCCCGTGGCCATACACAGTACACAGTACACACCCACCAGGAAAAGGGCGGTTTCCTGCCGGGCTCCGTGGTCGAATCGGTGAGGAATGCACGGCAGTCAGGGGCGCGCCCAGTCACGTCACAGGGAAGGGCGTCTGGGCGGCAGGGGAGAGCAGGGGCGCGTCCAGGCGTGTGCCTCAGGGCGGTGGTGATACGACGTCGTGGGCTGTTTAGATCTGTAACTACTGAGGATGTGTGTGATCAGCCACATATTTAGAGTGACATCACTGGCAGATGATGACTGATTTACTAAATAATATTTTCCTATTTTACTACAAGGAAATTAATAACAAGTTGAAATCAGGAAGAAGAAACTTAGGTAGTGGGCTACAGACGATAAATCAAATGCACTCGTATTCAAACTCTCTGCTGTAGGCATATTTCCGATCCGTCAAGCTCGCACTGCCCATTGCAGGTGGTTTTAAATGTGATTGAAATTTTTAACGACGCGTTACAATACTTGAGTCACACATTGCGCCGCCCTGTAAATAGCTGTGTCTTCCTGTTGCTGCGCTAAGCGCTAATCTAAAAATGTTTCTTCCTCCTACCCTGCAATTTCTCGTCCGATTTTCACCATCCATCCAGGTGCCAAGCTTCTGCACTTTTGCACCGCCCGTTCAGTTCGCGGCTCCACCATTGTGCCCATATCTTCCGATCCATTCAGCTGTCGCGTTTTTATTTGTCGGCGGCCCGCAGTGGGCCCGGCAGAGCTGCCGGCTGTCGCGGTGGCGGCGAAGCACGCGTCATTGTTGAACCGGTTATGGTGACCATGAGGGCGACTGCTAAGCTGCCGGGAGTGCAGCGGACCGGCCCAACGCCGCCTGACGATGGTAGGCTGGACGGCAGCGGCCGCAGCGGACGGGCGGGCGGCTGGCAGCGGGGTGGTGGGCAAGACGGGGACGTCTTTGCAATGTGAGGGAGTGGGGAAATAGGCCGCTGACAGGTGTGGTTTTAGCTGTCAGACAGATCAGATACGGCCAGTGGGTATTACCGGATTCCACGAGATTGGTAGAGAATGAAACAGTTGCTCGTATAGGAAGATATCCGCCCTGTACTGAAAAGGAGGAAGCTGGTGTATTTTTGGCTGAAGTTGCGCTGCCTAATAGGCATTATACATAGAAAAGACCAAATCAAATTTCGTACGGCGAGGACTGAAAATAATGTGGCACTCAAATAATCTGATGGTCATGGTTTCAATTTTCTGCTTTCAATAGTTCAAAGCTCGAGCAACATCTCAGAAATCGACTGCAGGAAGCCTTTATCACATTTATCTATCCATCATGTAACAGAGAATCTGAACAGCATTTCCCACAAACTTTGAGCCCCCTACGAAACGGAAATGTTTTTTATTTTCTCTCGCGCCTGTCCTGATCAACGGATAACAGCCAGCATCACGCAGCTAATCACTTTAGCGTCACGAACAGCCGCCTGTTCAAACAGTTTCCTCCACATGCACATTGCACAGTGCACAAGGTGGCTACTTTAGCCGCGATACATACCACCACAGCCGCACTCACCGCACCGCAGCAACCCGGCCGTCTGGAGCGCGGCCAAACTGGCGCGCGTGCGACGCTCGGCGCACCTTCCCTGTCGCATCATACATCACCCAGCCGGCCGAGTGATGCGCGCGTCAAACTAAATCGATCTATGGCAGCCTAAAACGGCCGCTGATCGCGCGCACAAAGGCAACTTTGACACGCTTTGAGCCTGTGATTGTGCCCGCGCCATCTGCCGCACTGCGCGCCTCGTTTGCCGCACTTGTGGCGCTCGCGGTGCTTTGTTTTCACTGTCTGAGACGAATCTGGCGCAGTGCGCTCGGCTGGCGGCGCGGCGTCTGCGTCACGAATGGAGCGGTCGTGTGTGATCAGGAACGC